TTTCTTTTTTGCTTATGTGGTGCTGAGGAATCGAACCCAGGGCCTCATGCATGCAAGGCAAGCACTCTACCACTGAGCCACCTTCCCAGCCCAGACTAAATCTTGTCATTATCCTTATTCTAAAGATGAGGAAACCAAGATAGAATGGAAATCAGTCACTATGTCAACACTAACACAGTTATTAAGTGGTGAAATGGGAGTTAAGGACTCAAAATGATGTCTCTCATCTTTAGCTTTTACAAATTGTGAGCTGAGAAACTAGATTTCAGTGTAGTGACTTCTAATCCTTTCTGGATGTGTAAAGTAGGTGAAGTTTACCAAACTGAAGTGATCTTCAATACTGCCTTTTGGTAGATTTTTACCTTTTCAAAGAGAAGGTAGATTTAGATAGCTGCTCCTAATTCCTAACCTTGTAACTTGCCCTTAAAAAGGAGATTAGTTGGCTGGGGGAAGGAAGGATATCTGCTTTTTCTGATTACTTCCTGCTTTTAGCTTGGGGCATTGTTTTTGCTGCTAAATTTAAACGAATGCTTGATACATGGGATTTATTTGATGGAATGTGATCTTTTTGTGTGTGTGTATGCTCATCCTGGGCTTTGAACTTCGGAACCCGGGCGAAGTCCTCAGTGTTCTACCACTTGATCCAAAGACCTACTTTTGGCTTTTTTGGTGCTTAATTGGAGATAAGAATTCCTGCTTCTGTAGCTACTCAGCCTTCTGAGTAGCTAGGGTTACAGGTGTGAGCACTGGCACCTGGCTAGGAATGGGTTTTATCTGTGATACTTTGTGATTGAGTGCTTGGAAAGCTTTAACATCGGCAGATCTGAAATGTTAAACTTTTTAGTTCTTTAGAGAAAGAAATCTGTGGATCTTGAATTTTTTTTCATATATGTCAACTCACAATAGAGTATTTTCTGATGTCTTTTTCATTTTTCTCCACTTCTTTCTCTTTTTAAAAAAATTAGCTTGGGACAGGATATTTTATTGTTATATTTCCACATGCATTTACAAAATATACCAGTCAGTTTCATCCTTTCTATCATTCTCCCTTTCTTGCTTCCCAAAACAGTTTTCATAGCTGCAAACTATGAAAATATTTCTACTGTATTCCAGCTCCTTGCTAGCCAAATCTCCTAGTTTTTAAGAGGTATTTATTTTCAGCCACAGAACAATAGTGACAAAATTTGTAGTAGTTTTGAGTCAAAGAAAATATCATACCCAATTCATCAATGTTCACTTGTTAATAGATGTCACCCATTTAAAGAAAGAAGTCTACATGAGTCTACATAAGTCTGTAGCTTATGTTTCAAAATAAATTAACTTTTTGTTTAAAACTCTTGTTATCAAACTAAAGATCATATTGTCTTTTCCAGTGTTTTATTTTTGAGGCATACTGTGGTACCTAGGCTTGCCTCAGATTCACAGTCTTCCTGTGTCAGTGTTTCAAGTGCTGGGATTGCAGGCATATGCTAGGGAGCCAGGCGCATTTTGCAATTTACATTAGCCAATTTGTAATATCTAGATCTTTGAAAGTAGGTTGTTTTCTTAAAGAACAGTTTCTAAAACTATATTTGATCTGTTCTAGTAGCCTTGTTAATGTTAAAATATTTGATTTCCTTCCATCTAGAAATACATTTATAGGTATATGACGTATAAAGGAATAGGTAACCTAAAATTTAATTTCTTCCCAGATAGGAAAAGCAATGTAGAGGGGACTGCGAATGTCCCTCATTCCTCTGGTTACAGTTCAGTATCATCAACTTCCAGAGCCTCCGCAATTCGTTACTGTGGTTTGAAGGATCTTTCAGAGGTAAGAAAGACAGACCATTGCTTAGATTTCCTTTCTAAGGTCACCAGGAAAAGTGAACATTGGATTTAATTGTATATACTATTGGCAAGATAAATGGATCTCTTAAGCTCTCAATACTTGTTTGTGTTGAGTAAACAAGCATTAATGCAATGTTTCAGACTGTGTTTTATATGTTCATGGTCCATTGGTGAGGATGGTTCACTCTGAGAAATCGCCTAAATTTGTTGCTTTTTAAATTAAAGGAAACAACAATCCAGAAAATGGAAAGGATGAAAAAAATGTAAGTAACAGAAAGGGGCCACAGAAATTTGTTTCTCTATAGGGAATTGTATTGGGTTATATATACATAGAATGTGCATATGTCTTGCAAACCTCAAAAGTCTGTCGTTGGGTGTGGAATTTCCTTCCAGACTCCAGTGAATAATAAATCCACCCACAGTTATGTGTTTGTGAGTTGAGTCACTTGTTTTGATTTCAACAAGCTATGTAAAAACATTGTTAATAAAATTAACTGGATTAAGGAGTGCAGGGATATTTTTGATTGGCAGTTAATCCAGAATTATCTGTTTATATATGATGTGTTAAAATATTAAGTATATGTAGATCAGTAGTATTTAAAGTACTACTAGTCTTTTTATTAAGTTATTGATAAAGTTACACTAATGATATGTTTTATATAGTGCAAATAACATTTAGTTTACAAAAGAACAGTTTAAAGAAAATCTAAAGTGAAATTATATAAAAATATTATATAGCCTAATGCCTTACAAAACTAGAATAGTCTTGAAATTTGAAAAATTCTAGAGTAATTTAAGCTTCAAGAATTGACTTTATTTTTCCATTTATCTAGCCATAGTATGTTTATTATTAATAGTAAATGAATACAAAAATATTCACATTTATTTTAGACTCAAAAGCTTAGTTTCAATAACTTAAGTCTCACTGATTGTGAATTGTTTATCTATCACTTTTCTATTCTATTTCAGGTTTGAAGAAACTGCAGAGTTACTCAAGATCTCCAGTCGCAAATTGTAGAACTTCCTTCTGCACAAACTTCTCTAGAATTTTGGCTACTGTATATGTTGTATATTTTAAGAATTCTCTATAATTTTAATACATTGCAGTATTTATTAGGAATTTGGATTTCATTTGGTATCTGAGTTTTTCATTCTTTCGTGAATAAATACTTTGAATATTTTTGAGCTATGATAATATTGGTTCACTCCTTTTCACTTAGGAAAAAAGCTGTGTTCTTTGCTTTAACAGAGTGAAGTCATTACAGCACTGTTTTTTTGTGTTGACATTTGTTGGCAGTGTGCTAAGTAGTGTGTTTTAAAGTACAGGCTTGAAGACCGTGGTTTACATCCTGTTGGAAGCATGCCAACTAGGACTTACATATTGTTCCCTGGAGGCTTCTCCGACATACAGTTTTGCCATCTGTGCTGATGAGTAAGTTGTACTGAGAAGTTTAAAAAGCTCATTGAAAATTAAAACAACAATATAGCTGTTTCATGCTTAGTCACAAAGCAGTACCTTTTCAGTTAATGCTGGGAAAGTGTGGGTATGATTCTCCTTTTGTATTAAAGCAGGTCTCTAAGGTTCACTGAGAACATGCTGAGTGTTTTCCTGCTTAATACCCACAGCACACACACATTGGTGGTGGCCATCCAGTGCTAGAGGTGAGGTGGGTTTCTCACAAGGTGAGGTGGGTTTTCTTCTAATGATGAGAAGTTGGATATATATGCATCTGTCTTGTATGTGTACAAATATGTATAAATATGTATATATGAGAGGAAATGCCTTAAATCAAGAGAAAATGAAATTAATTTTTAAAACATATTTTTCTGACTTGTAAATAAAAATGTAATAACAATTTAATTGACCCCATTATTAGAAAGATGGATTATTTTTCTTTTCCTGTATGTTTCACCTGTTATTTGATGTTTTTCATATCAGCTGTCTATATTGTAATGTATGGTTTGACATTTGATTGTGAAAATATAAAACCTTAAATTATAATTAGAAGTGGAACTTTTAAAATGTTTTTAGGATTCCCATGTTTAGTTATTATACACTTTAAAACTATGAACTTTTATGGTAACATACAGGAACATATGGCCCTGCATTTTGTAAAATTTGAATATAGACTATAGTTTGTAAATCCTGTTTACCTTGGTTTTTCAATTATAAACAAGATACATTTGTAAAAAAGAGCACAGTTTTGAAAAAACTAGCCTAGTCTAAGGAACTTCTGGACTGTCAGAATCAGTGTGGAATTATAGTGCCACCTTGTGGCTCATATATATTTTACTTTTAAAACCAGTGATTCCCCACAAAAGAGGGGAAATAACTGAAAAAATTCAGTCCCAATTTTAAAAAGAAACATTCTTAAGATTTTTGTGGAAGATTGATGAAAGTTGTCTTTCTCTTTGTCTCCTCCTATCATTATTTCTTTCCTTTTTGTTTACATATGTACCAAATTTGAAATGTTTGTAATATAACTTACATATAATATGCATAATACATGCATGTACTGAAAACATTTCTAGTTATGCTACCAAGTATAAATTTGGAATCCAAACTATTTATACTTTTAACTAACAACTTAATCAAAAACTAATAGGAGAATGAATAAAAGTTTTCTATTATTTTGACAATATAATCCTAAAATAAAAACGAGGAAAATTTTTTACTTCAAGTTATTTAAAGAATTGCCAACTTATTATTCTCTTTTGAAATAGCAGAGGTTTTTCTCTCATAATTACCTTGGCAAGTAGTTTGTAATAAGAAACCAACCTCTTTTGAATGACCTGGAGGTCCTGAAAGAGGTAGCTACATAATTAACCCTTATTTAGCTGGGATTTACACTAATTCCATCCCCAGCATTCTTTAAGCTAGATTAATAACCAATCACCATTCTAGGAACAAAGGCATCAGGAGCTCATGCTGCCCTATCTGAACTACGCTCTGAGTAGTTCTACACTTGGTTGAAAGGAAACAGAGAAGCAATTTTGAGTAGATCTAGATGAGAGCCTGAGGGATACTGAAAGAAATTCTTAAGTAAAAACTCAGGACTGAAAAAAGTAGTATCTGCTATTTATGAAAAGTCTAGGCAAAGCTGAGGGATGACAAATACACTGGGAAAAACAGTTATGTCACATTTGCCTTACTCTTACCATTTTAATGTGATGGTTTAACATGTAATATATTTCTTCCAAAATAAACTAAAAGCTTTGTAACTATGTTTTATGTTGTTTATTACTCAAACTTCATTTGGGGAAGCATTAAAAAGTAAAAGGAGGCTGGGCGCTGGTGGCCCCTGCTTGTAATCCTAGTTACTCAGTAGGCTGAGATCTGAAGATCATAGTTCAAAGCCAGCCGGGGCAAGAAAGTCTGTGAGACTCTTATCTCCAATAAATCACTCAGAAAAACCGGAAGTGGTGCTGTGGCTCATGTGGTAGAGCACTAGCCTTGAGCTGAAGAGCTGAGGTAGCACCCAGGCTCAGAGTTCAAGCCCCACAACCAATTAAAAAAAAAAAAGTAAAAGGACTGTCAATTTTATAAGCACAATGTATTTTTAAAGCTCAAATAAAGCTTTAATTTTTATATTTTTTAGCAATTCCCAGGTTTGTCTCTTTGAAGCTGAAGAATACAGAGAGGGAGAACTGATCAAAGTATTATAAAACTTAAAAGTTATATTAGAAAAAGCTGAGACTAGTGGTCCATGCCTATAATCCCTGATATTCTGTAGTTTGAGTGAGGAGAATCATGAGTTCCTGAATTCCCTGCCTAGGTGGTAGAATATTTCTCTAACCAGCATGAGGCCCTGGGTTCAGTCCCCAGTAACAAAAGGAAAGGAAAAAGAAGGGAGAGTGAGGGGCAAGGGAGAAGGTGGCGGGGGCGGGGGGGGGGGGAGAAGGGGAGAGCAGACTCTCCTACAAAATTAAAACTTAAGTCACTTGACTTTCTCTATTTCTGGTCAAAATGCCAGGTTCTTCTGTTAATAGAGTAAAAGCTGAGATGTGAGCAATATTGAGAACATACGTAGTGACTGTGAATTTTTCATGAGTGCCAGTACAAGGTTTTGAACTCCGGAACTTGTGTTTCCTTTTCACGCATGCCGGGCTTTCTACCATTTGAGGCGTGCCTCCAGCTCTGGAACTCTGTCTTTCTTAGCATTATTTTAAAATTATAAGTTATCTTGATTGAAATACAGGAATAGAAGGTTGTATTTTTTCCTCTGAAGTCTGCTAAATCCAATTATTGTATTTGAGGTGGAGCTCTAGATGTTGTCCAGGCCCATCTCAAATTCCTTGTCTCAAGTGATCTGGTTTGCTAGCCCCTGATTTGCTAGGATTATAAACTCAGCTCACTAATAAGAACTTCTCATTTTTTTCTTTTATTTAACATCTTAAAATTTAGAATGGAGTTCATATGCAATAACTCTCTGATGTCTATAAATTATTTTTATATTGTGGATGAGTATTAAGAGGAGAGGAAAGAATAACTTGTGAAAATAAAACAATTTAGATAGCAAGAGAGTATTTGGCATAGGTCATAATTTGTAGATTAAATTCTTGAGTTTTTTTTTTTTTTT